TCCTACTATCTCTAAGAAAATATTCAGTTTGAATTAAAAAGCAGTTTATCATGTTTGAATTTTGATAATACATATTTGTCAGATATTTGTTATTTTATGTTAAGATATGACTTTCCTTTAAATCACTGCTAGTTTATCTCATTTGCTTTTGCGAATCAGAACTCTTCGCGTTTGGTCTATTCAAGATGGCCACTGTAGGAAAGTTCTACAAGGTCATGAAGATGAAATTCAGGTAGTGTTATTATATATGTATCATCTTTACTTTCACTTTATAAAATTCAGTGCTCCATATATCATTTTTTTTCAAATATCACAGTATTAGTGAAGCAGATTAGGTTACGTTTCTAGCTTTGGTTACCCACTGCATGTGTCTGAATTTTCATTGAGCATCCCAGGAGGGAAAGTACCCACTGGCAGCACAAGAGTTAGAAAATTAATATAGGAGGACAGTTTGGCAGATTTTCAGTTACATACTGTTTAAAGAGTTTGTGAAACCATGAAGATCTCTTTTATAAATCAAAAAAATCAAACTATTGTGTCAACACAGTATGGAGCTGGAGGAACACAGCAGGCCAGGCAGCATCAGAGGTCTGCCTGTGTTCCTCCAGCTCCATGCTGTGTTGTCTCTGACTCCAGCATCTGCAGTTCTTGCTATCTCAAATTATTGTGTCTAATTGTCATTTTTAAATCTTTCTGTTGAGACCATATATCGCTGGAGTTTAGAGGAATTAGGGAGCCTTATTATCGATGGAGTTGGAAATCCTTAAAACGTATGCCCTAAATTCAACATTCAGATTAGAACCCCGTGAGCATAATCAGTCTAGCTTACACGTTGATCTGTAATTTTAACGGTGGGATAAGACGTTTCACAAGCAGAGACTGGAATTGATCACACCATGTTCTTCAAGGTTAGTTTATTATAAATTAAATTTGCCCCCTGCCTGTTTTAGACCATAAGATGTAGGAGCTCTCCCTCTCAGCATCTACCCTGTCAAGCTCCCTAAGAATGTTACATGTTTCAATAAGGCTGCCTCTTCTATAATCCAATGAGCACAGGCCCAACCTATTCAACCTCTCCTCATAAGAAAATCCCTTCATTCCCAGGATCAACCTAGCAAATCTTCTCTGGACTGCATCTGGATGGTGAGTGAAATGAACTGAAGGGAGAAAAGAATCTTGTGATGTTTTAACATCAGTGGTTGCTTCAACTGCTTTTAAACTAGGTTATGAATGTTCAACAACTCATGTGTGCAGGGCTGTTCTCTCTGATGATGTCTGTTTGAATGGTCAAATGTTTAAAGACCAGAGTAGGAAATTTGAACAATATTTATTTTACATAAATGAACAGTGCTGAAAGATTGAACTGATTAAATTTTAGTATGGAAACAATTTACATATTAAAATTACAATCATTAATCAGTGTAAAAAAGGGTCACTGTTTAACTATGTACTAACACTTACTTATTTTCCCAAAGTTAATGTTTTATAAATCAGGTGAATTGAATACTCTTTAACTGTTTCTTATTGAATCAAACCTTGTGAATATTCATTAAGAAATGCCTAAAGTTGGCTTCAGCATTTATTATTTGTGAGTACCATCACAAAATAAGTAAAAATGCAATAAAGATAACAATTATTTTAGTAACATTTAAATTTTAAAAGGTTATAAATAGGGTTTAGTTTTAATGTTTGTAATAGGAAAATATTTCAAAACGTGTATTATTTACTTGTGTGGAAATCTCATAATGATGATTAGTCACATGTATTAGATTTATTTTAAATGATCTATATACCTGTATTTCAAATCAAACACTCTACACAGTGTTTGTAAAGCTTTGAAATGACTGTACATGTTAAAATATGGTTAAATGGCATGTAAAATCGTTTATTTAAACTTGCGATGATATTAACCATTTACTTACTAAACAGTACTTGACTATGAAAAAGCATCTTGTTGCTAGCACATCCTGGGACCACACAATAAGAATGTGGAATATAGAAGCTGGAGAATGTACAGCTGTTCTAAAAGGCCATACAGAAGGTAATTACTCTGAAATAAACACTAGAAGAAAATGTTTGTGAAAGACAATGTCCGTTTTCAAGATTTTCTTTTAATCATACATCTGAGGCCTATTACCCTCCCTTTCAACCCAAAATGCCAACTCTAAATGTCCCAGGTTGAGCCCACACTTACATGGTGCAAACCTATCTTTTGACAAGTGCCTGTATCTGAAAATTAGAAAATACAACTCTTGCCTAGGACTGAGAGTTGTGCATCAGCAGTAATGGTCATTGGCTGCAGGGTCTTCTGACTATCCAAAATCTTCAGTCTTGACAACTTTTCATGGTACTTACAAAATTTAAAAAAAAAGGTTGTTTACCATTGTGCCTTCCGGGTCCTGCCTGATCTCTCAAATCCTGTAATCTAAGGGAGTCTAGGCATGTTATCTAATGAGTTGCCCTGTAGGCTTCTGAAATGCCAAAGCTCAAAAAGAAGAATGATTTATTATTTGTACATGTTTTAGATGCAAGCAGTAGTTAGCCTTTGGGAAACTTCAGGATTATCATTGATCTCCTGTTGTAAATTTGGCAGGAACGCTGTTAGAAACCTCCCCACCCCCCCCAAAAAAATGCATTGAGATCAGTTTTCATCTGTTTATGCCTTTATTCTGAAGATTCCTTTGTCATCATCTGCTGCTCCTTGATTTGGTGGTAATGTCTACTCGGTTGCAGATTTATATCATAGGTCTTTATGTGACTGAACAGATAGATTGTCGAATTGTAGGTTCTTAGACACTTGGGGTGGAATGCCTCAGTAGACAGTGGATTCCAGAAAGCAGGATTTGCTTCCTTTTCTTTCCTTCCCTGCCATCACACTGCCTCATTTAAACTTAGTGATAAGAGGAGTCAAGAATTAAGCTGTAATTATTCATTTTCATGTATATGGGAGGAGAGCCAGTCTTATCACTGTAAGGTGTAAAACTAGCTCTGATTGGTTACAGATATCTCCCACCTTTATACAAAATATTGCAAGCCCGTATTTCTATGTATTGTAATTCCTATGTTTCTACTGTTTTCCCACAATTTATGCATGCATTGTCTGTTTTTTGGCCAAGGCCGGTGTTATCTTGCTGATAGTGGGGCTCCTACACTTCTAGCCCGCCTTTACACATCTGTTGTTCCCATTTGCTTTATAACATGACTGAAAATTTAACCCTTAACTTACTGAAACTGATTCAACTCCTTCAGACTCCAAGCAAGATGCAGCTTGATGGATCATTTGTCACTACTGTGAACAATTTGTGGAAAGCTCCTTCTAGTCATTAACGTCAATGCTGCCATGCTTCAAGAAGAGTTCCAAAGCATCTTTGTAGCAATTTCTCTGTCATCTCTGTGGAGATGTGGATAGTGCGGAAGGATGTTGCAGGTTACAGAGGGACATAGATAAGCTGCAGAGCTGGGCTGAGAGGTGGCAAATGGAGTTTAATGCGGAAAAGTGTGAGGTGATTCACTTTGGAAGGAGTAACAGGAATACAGAGTACTGGGCTAATGGTAAAATTCTTGGTAGTGTGGATGAGCAGAGTGATCTCGGTGTCCATGTGCATAGATCATTGAAAGTTGCCACCCAGGTTGATGGGGTTGTTAAAAAGGCGTATGGTGTGTTATGTTTTATTAGTAGAGGGATTGAGTTTCGGAGCCATGAGGTCATGTTGCAGCTGTACAAAACTCTGGTGCGGCCGCACTTGGAGTATTGTGTACAGTTCTGGTTGCTGCATTATAGGAAGGATGTGGAAGCATTGGAAAGGGTGCAGAGGAGATTTACCAGGATGTTGCCTGGTATGGAGGGAAGGTCTTATGAGGAAAGGCTGAGGGACTTGAGGCTGTTTTCGTTAGAGAGAAGAAGGTTGAGAGGTGACTTAATAGAGACATACAAGATGATCAGAGGATTAGATAGGGTGGACAGTGGGATCCTTTTTCCTCGGATGGTGATGGCTAGCACGAGGGGACATAGCTTTAAATTGAGGGGTGATAGATATAGGACAGATGTCAGAGGTAGGTTCTTTATTCAGAGAGTAGTAAGGGCGTGGAATGCCCTGCCTGCAAAAGTAGTAGACTCGCCAACTTTAAGGGCATTTAAATGGTCATTGGATAAACATATGGATGATAATGGAATAGTTTAGGTTAGATGGGCTTCAGATTGGTTTCACAGGTCGGCGCAACATCGAGGGCTGAAGGGCCTGTACTGCGCTGTAATGTTCTATGTTCTATGTTCTATCACTACAACGGTGACCATTTGAGAGCTGAGAACTTGTCAGGGAGGAGTTGCTTTTTGCAGAAATTTTGCTCGAATGTTTTTAGAGTTGACTTCAAGAAGGATAATTGTTCTCCTATTCGCCTTCCTGTTGATTCTGTGGAATGCAGCAACAGCGTTGCTAGTGGGGTATCTCTAGTGCTATTATGTGTCACTGATACATAGTCCAAATCATATTGCAGTACAGGAGTGTGGTGATGACAATTGCTTTGCACTCTAGGACTACTGTTAACTTGCAGAGATAACAAGGTGTAGAGCTGGATGAACACAGCAGGCCAAGCAGCATCAGAGGAGGAGGAAAGCTGACATTTCGGGCCTAGACCCTAACCTAACCCTAACTTGCAGAGGTCGTTTTCAATCAAACACAGGCTGTTATACAGCTGATCCAGTGTTGGCCTCATGAATGCTGACCCTTTGAGAGAAGTAGCTGTCAACTTTTGGAAGTACTTAACGTATTCCAGAGTCTCTTCTTTCAATACTACAGGAAGTGGAACATTTGACTGACTAGTTCTGAGTTGTTTTTTTCGTTTTGGCAAACAGTGGATACTCTAGGTCACGTATTACTGTGGTGGTCAGTTTAATCTTGGCACAAAGGCAGCTGAGGTTAGAGAGGTTTCCATCTATGCAATATTTAATGCATACAGCAGACGCCAGTTGATTTTTGAGGTCAATAACTACTGGCAGTAGATTGTAAATAGTTTGGGGCTGTCACAAAGCCTTTCCTGACACTGGTCTAGATTTGAAAAACACTCCTTTCAGGTCTCCCATTCAAGACAGTTGCATCCATATCATCCTGAAGCAGTTGCAAGATTATGATGAAGTTTCTTGAACATCCAAATCTCTGGAGAACAATCTACAAAGCCTACAATTTACAGTGTCAAATAGTTTGGTTATGTCAATGGATACAATGAAAAGTTTGTTTTATTTCGGTCAATATTTTTCTAAGACTTGTCTAGGAAAATCCATATTAGAAGCTCCTCTGGAATGTCTAAAGGAATGTTTCAGGAAGGATTTCTTCAGCTTAGGGAGTAGCTGATTTGGGAGAACGTGTCTGAATGTGCTATAGACAACTGGGAAATGCTTCAGTAGTTTCTGTAGCAAGATTTATGTCCCTTCTTGAGACAGGAACGTGACAACTATAGCTGAGGTACTGGTGAGAGTGTGAAGTGCTTTTTCCTGCCAAATCTGGACGATGAGTGCATTGAGTCTTGATGTCAACAAAAGCCAATCAAATTTGTAGGCTTCAGCTGGAATCAGGCTCTGTTGTTTCTTATCCTTCCAACTGCAGTTACAGCTCTCTCATTGACAGTAATCTACACATGGATTCCATGCAAAGTGCTGGGGATAAGTTGAGACTATCAGTTGCCACAGTGAATTCAAGGTTGACAAGTTATTGGAAATGTTCTTTCCAATATTGAATAGATAACATTGTCATCCTTAAGAAGAGAAATACTGTCCTATGAATGAAGGGAATTTTATCCATTTGACCTGGTGTATAGATGGCGCTGGTGGCTTCCAAAAAGCTTCACATGTCAAGAATGTTGACTTTCTTGAATTTCTCTTGCCACTACTTGTCTTTTATGTTTTAGGTTTTACTTTAGGTGTCAGCCTTGAGCTGTTGGAATGCTGCCTTCTTGACTTGTGGCTTGGATTGCTGATGGAGGCTGCTCATTATGCTTCTAGGGGGTTACACATTTCTTCATTCTTTTTATTAAACCATTCCTGCTGATGACAGTACTCAAACTCAATGATCTGGACACAGTTTTCTTGTACAGCAGACTTTATCTGATGCTACTGTTCTGAAATGAATTTGAGTATATGAAGACTTTCCAGATTAGTTTTGAGTTGCTTTTGAAATTTCTGTCTTCATTGGGCTGCTTTAGAGCTGAGACTAATCTTCCTTTGGACTTCTGGTTCTTGTAATCATTTGTGCTAGGTGGATATTCTCAACAGTTGAACAATTCGATCATCTGTCTGGCAGGTATCAGTCCCCACGCATGGATCAAGTGATAAAGACATCGCTTAGCTCTTTAATTCAAACAATGCTATAGTCCCGGAACATTGAAACATAGAAAACAGGAGTAGAAGTAGGCCACTCAGGCCTAACTGATCCAGTCTTTCTTCATATGTCAACCCTGCCATCCCAGGAATCAGTCTGGTAAACCTTTGTTGTACTCAGGAAACACAGGTCTTGTTGCATCTTGATAATAAACTTCCTTCCTGTTTTTGCTGCTAAAGTGGATAACCTCACATTTATCCACATTATACTTCACCTGTCATGCATTTGTTTGCTCGCTCAACTTGTCAACTTATTTAGGTGCCAGTGTTTTGATCTAGGATGGGTCTATTTAGATTTGTATTGGTCCTCGTGGAAGTCAGTTTTGTTATAATGAGGCTGTAATGAGCACACTTCATCAGCAGCAGGGCACCATTTGTATTTCTGAAGAAGGGTCTAGGCCCGAAACGTCAGCCTTCCTGCTCCTCTGATGCTGCTTGACCTGCTGTGTTCATCCAGCTCTACACCTTGTTATCCCACCATTTGTATTGGCTCTTCCCATACTATTTCTGACCAGGATTTCTCACCAGACATCAGAGTCATAGCCAACCCTGGTATTAAGGTCCCAAATAAGAATTATGTTTTATTCTTTTGGGCTTGGCCACGAGGACGAGGTCAAAACCAATATTTTCCTTAACATTTTTGCATGATTAAAGGGTTGGAGCATAAATGCTGATAACCAACATATTGATTATGGCTGAGCTGGAGGTATAGTGCCACCAATCTTTTATTTATACAACTGAGGAGATCTGACAGTGCACCCAAGAGCTTAGAAAAATGAGAGGAGACCTTACTGAATAATACAAGATTACTAATGGGTTGACAAGGTATATTGTTTCCCCTTGTGAACTAGAAGAACTAGAACCAGAGCACATAATCCCAAAGTAATGGGTCTCTTATTTAAGATAATTTAAGAAGAGTTCTTTCTAACTCTTCCTCTTTCGGAGAATAGGGAATCTGTGAAATTCTTTACCTTAGAAGCTATGTCATTAATCATATTCAAGGTTGAGATAGATTTTTACTCAGTAAGGCAATTGAAGGTACGGGATAAGGCAGGAAGGTGGAGTTAAGGATTATCAAATCAGCCACAATCTCTTTGATTGGCAGAGCAAACTTGATGGGCCAAATGTCCTACTTGTGATCCTATATCTTATGATTATATGGTCTCATAAATATTGAAACTTTTAAAATTCAAAGATATGCAGTGTATGATTTTATTTTTACTGAGCGGTTATCTGTATACAATTTTGTGTGCATTTCCCTCTTCACAGTGGTGAACTGCTGTCAGTTTGACTGTCGATACCTGGTGAGTGGTGGAGGAGATTGCTTAGTGCTTATCTGGTCAACAGAAAGTGGAAGATTGCTGTGCAATTGTCAAGGACACACCGGGGATGTGGTAAGTAGTTTGTACATGGTGACAGAGACAGAAAGCTAAGGTGAAAAGAACATGTTTTTCCAGTTGTAAAGACACAATAAAAGAAAATGTAACCAAGAAACAAGTTGTTACTGCTGTATACAAATTGATGTGCTATCAGTTGTATCAAATTTGATTTAGGCATACTGCTGTGCATCACTGCCATTCATGAAAAATGTATAACACTGCTAGATTAAGAAATGACACTTGAATGATGATTTGACGATGGGAAAGGGGTGATCAACAGTGCTATCAACCAGCACTTGCTTATTAATAACCTGGTCACTGATGTTCAGCTCTAGTTCCAGGGTCTCTTAGTTCCTGACCTCATTACAACATTGGTTCAAACATGGACAATAGAGCTGAATTCCACATGTGAGGTGAGAATTACTGGCCTTGACATATTAATGGAAATTGGGAGAAAATTGTCCACCAATTGGAGTCATACCTGGTTATGATTGTGTAAGTCAGTCATCTCTGCTCCAGGACGTTTCTGCAGGAGTTCCTCAGTAGCTTCCTAGGCCCAACTATCTTCAGCTGCTTCACGAATGACCTTACCTCTATCATAAGGTTAGAACTGGAGATGTTCGCTGATGATTGTTTTGCAATATTTTGTACTATTTGAGATTGTACACGATTTGTAATATTCATGCCATAAAAGTGTCAGGCAATGACTATCTCCAGCAAAGGATAATCTCATCATAACATTCAATGGAATTACCACTGCTGAATTCCCCACAATCAACATCCTCGAGGTTATCATTGACCAAAAACTGAACTAGCTATATAAATATTGTGGCTACAAAAGCATGTTAAAGGCTAGGAATTCTGTGGCAAAGTCAGGGGTGTGCTGGTATATTATCCACTTGCCTGGATGAGTGTAACTTCTACAACATTTGACAATGACACCATCCAGGACCAAAGCAGCCCGCTTGATTGCTACTTCCCACGCAACCTTCACTATTCACTCCCTCCACCACCGATGTTCAGCAACAGTAATCGTAGTTCATCAGGGTTCCTATGACAGCACCTTACAATTCCGCAACCTGTACTACCAACAAAAGACAAGGGCAGCAGATGCACGAGAACACCACGATCTGCAATTACCCTTCTAAGTCACATACTATTCAGACTTGAAATGATATTCCATTGCTGCATCAAAACCCTGGAACTTCCCTTCAAAACAGCATTGTGGGTGTTGCTGTACCCTGAGGATTGGAGTGATACAAGGAGGCAGCTCATCACTATCTTCTCTTATGCACTATCCCAAGAATAAATAAAATGAAACCATGCCAGCTGATCATCAATCATCATCCAGTCCACATTTCTCTTTAGGATTCTGATCTCTGGTGAATAAAGCCCTCATCTTGATTTAGCATCAACCAAACCTCAACTTCCAAATGGCAATTCTGTGCCCTTTACAAAAGCTTCCCTTTTCACCATCTGCCCTGCCCAAACTATTATGGTGGCAGTAAGGACCTTATCACCAAATTTTACTGCTTTCCCCTTCTCCTTTAAGCACTATACCTTTTTCCACCCCTCTTGCCTCTCCTTTAAAAGCATTCTGAGTCCTAGCCCAAGTTTCTTCTTGAAATATTCTGCCTTGCTGTAATACCTCTACACTAACTTGGTCTTTTATCTCTGATGTTCCTGCCTCTATTTATTTTAAATAATTTAAAGATAACATCATCCACATTTTACATCTAATTAATCTTGGCCATTCTAATACAAATCTTCGATGTATTTTCTGCAGTACTGTTTGATGTTTAATGAGAAGACAATCTGCTCTGGTTCTTCAGATAGCACCATTCGAGTCTGGGACTTTGCAGGTGTGAAAAATAGAGAATGTTTTACTAATTTGCTTTGTAAGCTCATTTTCTTCTTCATGCCACAAATAAATCCAGCAATGATATAACCGTTTGATTTCTTACATAAGCTTCTAAACATGCTACCCTTTAAACAACTTTGAAAGCTATACACAGTTGATATGGGTTAGATCATCAATGGATTCCTTCTTCCCATTATGTCCAATCTTTACTAAGCCAGTCAAAGAACTATATAGACCCTACCATAAGAGGACATTTAGTTCAAAAGTTGATGTTGATATGTCAGTTCCACATGTTCCCTTTCCCTCTAACTTTAAAGCTTTCTATCCTACCATCATATTCAGAATGATAGTTAAAATTAATGATAGTTTGTGTTAAAAATCAGTATTAAAATTGACCTATCTTGATTGAAACCCTTAATGCTATTTGGGAATGCTGAGGAATCAAGGAAGGGCTGTACCAAACTGTATTTGGCTGAAAATCCATAGTCCCTTCTGCATCCTGATATGAGAACTCGAATGGAAGATCTAAATTAGATCAGTGTCTAGACAGATAGGGTCCCAGACTTTTCTGTTACTTTCCTATATGCCTTGTTATTGTGGCAGAGATTCTGCCCCCAAGTGGTCCAACTGAGTCCTCTTATCTAGAGCCCTATAGAGCTTTTGGGTGCTTATAGTCTGGGTGAGACAGATTAAATGGAAGACCCGGCTTAGAATCAAGCATAAACCCACCAAGAAGTTTGAAAAATATATGGTATCATTTATAAAGAGAGTTGGTGAGAGAACTGTCTCACATTTTGTATAGACTCCTACGTAGATGCTGAAGGTGCATCATTAATAGCATTATGACTTCTCCAATCCTGTAAATTCAGACAGTTAGTTCCAAAGATTATCAGCAGGCAGATACTATCATTTACCTTGTGACCAAAGCCCAGTGAGTTTCAGTTCTCATTTTTCTACTTTTAACAACACTTTAGTTAGTGTTTGGGTTTTCCCAGAACTCTCATCTAGATTTTTGCACAAAGATTTGATGCAAATGACCTCATAATTGACTGCTGCACAGAGAATATATTTTAGGGCCAGGATTTTACATTTAGATAACTAGTGAATATGACATTTTCCCTAAAACAGTACAACTACTATTTTGATTCTATAACTTATAAAGAGCTACAGACTTTCCTTTGGTAGAAAACATGGTATTGGACCATCCTGCCAACTAGTTTCAAACATTTCTCTGTAAAGCAAAAAGAGAAATTGTAATACCATGCTGGGCAAAAGTAGCGTGGTGAGCAAAGACCTCCCATACAAACAAAGCTTGGAGTTTAGAGGTAGAAGCAGTACTGTTTTGCATGTGTACTCATCTGAGGCACATGCCTTCTTCAACATGAATGTTTGTATGGTACAGACTAAGTAATGTGATGGAAAAAAAAAAGAAATAATATCACCAAATGCAGATTAAGAAAACTGTTCAACTCATCAAGATCACAGCAGTGAAATAAAATGTACGATCACCACTTTCTCCTGCTCCTCAACTACCAAAAGGGAAATTGTTGAGCCACACGTAAAACATGAATAAACAGATAACTGTTTAAAATAGTTTTGTGGTATTCAAAATAAATAATATATTACATTAGTGTTGTGATGAGTAAAGTACTTTATAAAACATCAATGATTTCCCCCAGGAAAATGTCTGTTTACCATGTCAGAACACATTGGGGTAGTGAGGTGCCTACACCTGGATGGAAATAGACTCGTCAGTGGTGGTGACAGAAAGAAGATTTTAGTCTGGGATGTGGCGGTAAATATGGGTTTCGTGCATTTGATGTTGCATACACAATTGTGTATAACATATAATTTTATTGATCTTTTGCTGACATAAATCAACACAATCACAATATTCACATCTTTGTGAAGATTAAATACAAGTTAATCACAAACCAAGATAACAAAGTGTGAAGCTGGAGGAACGCAGCAGGCCAGGCAGCATCAGAGGAACAGGAAAGCTGTTGTTTCAGGTCAGGTCCCTTTTTCTGAAGAAGGGTCCCGACCCAAAACATCAGCTTTCCTGTTCCTGTGATGCTGCCTGGCCTGCTGTGTTCCTCCAGCTCCACATTTTGTTATCTCTGACTCCAGCATCTGTAGTTCTTGCTATCTTTTAATCAAAACCATGATGTTTTTAAACATTTTTTCTATCAAGATGATGTCATAAATATAGAACATAGAACAGTACAGCACGTACAGGCCCTTCGACCCACGATGTTCTGCCAAACTTTTACCCTAATCCTAAGGTCTATCTAGCCTCCGCCCCTACCTTATACTATCATCCATATGCCTATCTAATAGCCGCATAAATGCCCCTAATGAGGCCGACTCCACTACCCTCTCCGGCAATGCATTCCACACCCCGACCACTCTCTAAATAAAGAACCTACCTCTGACGTCTCCCCTATATCTACCTCCACTCACTTTAAAACTATGCCCCCTCGTAAAAGCTACCTCCACCCTAGGAAAAAGTCTCTGGCTGTCCACTCTATCTATACCTCTGATCATTTTGTACACCTCTATCAAGTCACCTCTCATCCTTCATCGTTCTAAAGAGAAAAGCCCTAGATCTCTCAGCCTTTCCTCGTAAAACCTTCCCTCCATTCCAGGCATCATCCTGGTAAATCTCCTCTGCTCCTTTTCCAACGCTTCCGCAATCTTTCCTGTATATTTCAAAATGATTTTTCCAAATGATACAAGATTACATACAACAAAACTAATGACAATCCCAATTGTCTGTTATAAAGTCAGAAATAAGACTGTCATTTATTGCATTGTTACTCATTGCAAAAAAATTACAAATTACAGATGGGAGTACCACAGATCTTGCGTGTGGATTCAAACTTCACACAGTTTCCTAATCTTCAAAGTAGAAAATGACCACTCTAGCCATTCAGTGTCGTGTCAAATTAAAAAATCTGAAACAGTGAAAAATAGAGCAAGTTAATAGGAAAATCATCTTGAGCTGATGTCATTCACTTTATAGCAGCCAGTTTGAGTAGAATCAATAAGATCTGAGTGCTGTGTGGTGCTAAGATAACCAAAGAAGGCAACAATGAGACAATACCTTTTTAAAAGAAAGCCCCATCCTCAAAAACAGTTAAATACACAAAAATTTCATTAATTATTACAATAAGAAAGAACTTGCCTTTATAGCATGTGAAATAACTCCACAGAGGTCTGTATCCTGTCACCAACTCACCCTTTATTTACACATAGAAACTCCTTGAAATTGATCCAGCTTCCTCAGAGCCAGATCTCAGAATGACAGGATGTCGGCATCCCTGTTATATCTGTCAGCCAGGGCTCCCTGATTGGACTAAATTAACAGCCCCAATCAGGGAACTCATATTCTATGAGGTCCAACTGGCTAACCTTGTTACAATCACTATGGTGTGCCTTTTTTCATCTTTGGGTTACTTCAAAGTTCTTTACATCCAATTAACTACTTGCTGTATTTCAGTCACTGCTTTATAATTTTCATGTTGCAATTCATTTTGAAATCAGTTCAACTACCACAATGTTTCAAGCCAGCTGTGATTTATATGATTGAATTATATAATAGATTAGGTGAGGTAGAGATTAGTGGTAATGTTACTGGACTAGTAATCCAGAGACCCAGGTTAATGCTGTGGGTGGCATAGATTCACATCTCACCATGGATCTGAATTCAGTAAAATAATCTGGAATCAAAAGCTAGTCTAATGCTAACCATGTAACCCATATGGTTCATTAGTGTTCTTTAGTGAAGGAAATCTGACATCTTTACCTGGTCAGGCCTACATATGGCTCAAGACTTAGTTGACTCTGAAATGGCCTTAGTCAGCTGAAGGCATTGAGGATGCGTAATAAGTACTGACCCAGCCAGCAACACCTACATCCCAAGAATAATGTTTTTAAAAAGCAATTTGTTTGAAGTCAAATGGCTTCTAAGTTATCGCTCAGTTAGCCAAAATGTACGGAATTCAAAATTAACCTAAACAGTGTCACAAAAAAAATACGTCTTTCATTCCTAACTCAAGACTTGAAAAGCACCTACTTCTTGTTGATTATTTTTGAACGAGTTGTTTTAATAAAATGGTTCCAAGATTTTTGTCTCCATTATTCCATCCACTCTAAGTACTCATCACACTTTTTCTGAGGAACTTATATCAGTTGCAAATTGATCTTTTGCAAGCCTGAACCTATTCCCTCTCCCAATTTTTTGTAGTTAAATGCTAATACATATTAGCATGCGAATAACCCAGGTCTTTGAATTAAGCATTTTCCTGTATAGTCTGAAAGATTATAACAATAGCTTTTTTCTTACATTTATGTTTCTCACAGTGAGTCTGATTGAGTTCCCACTCATCAATCAATTCATTTTCTAGTCATGTTTAGTTAATGTTTTATATTTATCTTATTCCTATAAGACTGATTAATATATTTGATGAATTGAATGTGTATATTATTGAAACAAACACAGAATGTTGGAGAAACTCAGTAGGTTTGGCAACTGAGTTAACATTTCAAGTCCGGTTTGATTTCTTCAGAAGCTCTGAAGAAGTTCTGTTTTGAACAAGCCATACTGAACTCGAAGCTGCACAAATTTTACTAGATCTATTGAGTTTTTCCAACATTGTGTTTGTTTCAAATTTCCTGCATCCACAGTATTATTCCTTATTCAGCCTTATTCAAATGTATGTCATTAAAGTGTGCTAGCCATCTTAAATGTTAATTTTGAAAAAGTCAAATAAGTGAAAACATAATATTAATTGCTATATTTATGTTTGATTTTTTGTGTTTTTAACCTCATTGCAGAATGGGAAATTAGTCAATGTAGTCCATAGGAATCCATCTCTCCTTCACAAGATCTGGATTAATCAGACAAAGATCATTACAGCTTCTCCTGAATCACCAGGAATTTTAACTATTTTGAGCTATTGGTAAATGATCAGTTACTGTTCTATATCTTTAAAACTAGGGAATATTAAACTCATAATTAACATTATACAAGCCAAGTTATTCATGATTATTTTGTGATTAAATAAGCATGAATACTGAATAGAGTTTATGTCATAACATCTGTGATATTTTTCAAGAAGCAGAAGTGAAATGATAAACACATTTCAAATCAACTCCAAATCCATTGGGCTGCATCTGTACTAAAACAAACTCAATCAGTTAGTTTTCTAACACTAGCATCTTTCTGACATTAGTTTGATAAGTGCTAAAGTGCAGAGAATTTTGCTCAAAATAAAACAAATTGATTAAACTCAATTTCACTGTCATATGACTCAGAAGACATGAAGATTCTTTATTCAATGCAAGTTCTTAATTTGGAAGCTATCAACCTGAATACTTATGACCACAAAACACAATTTGCTAAAATGATCCTTATGTGTAAAGATTCTCTTAATTGGTTTCTACTTGAAGCAAGCCTTTAGCTCAAGTTCCTTGGGCTTCTCCCACACTTTTGCTGTGACAGATGAGAGTTCGACAGAAATTCCGTTTGCAACAAAAACATCCAACTGCTGACTAGGGGAAGCCTCAATTTCTTGTCTCTCCTGATTTCTGCGTAGCCAGTTCCTGTCTAACTATTGTGAAAAATCTTTCATATGATTGTAATATATTAAATTGTTTATATATGAATTCTGATATTTACTGCAGTGTAGAGATAAAACCTTTTTAAATAAAACATATGACAAATAAGTGATGAATTTCCATCTGCTCTTGCTTCTTAGTATTAAACCCAAACCTGTAATGAACAAAACATTGCACAAAATTCTGTCAGGCTGAGGGGACCAAACAGGGATAGATTCACCTTTTAAAAATCCTGTATAATAAGACTGTAAGTTATGGCATCCAGTAAAAGATAAATATTACCTTAGAATACCCATCAAGACCAAATCAACAAATAAAAGAGAGCCATGAAGATAAAAGTCAGTAATTTCTTTGTGAGTTTGCCCAGTAGGCCACCAGATCTTCGGCAGAAATCATCTCGATGTACTCAATAAGCTGATAATTTAACAGAAATGAGTTTCCTCTAGAGTTCCACTGCTCTGCTATAGGTTCGTCAGAAGAAATATTTAAGTGTGATTGGGTTTCTAAGTTATGGTACCAGACCAAGAGCAGGATTCTTAAGCAAATTCACTCACTATATATTTGGTACTATCAATAGTACACTATTGTAATAACTCATAATGGCAGAAAAGAAAAATCTTAACAAATATACGATACCACACAGCTCTAATTTATTGAAAAACATGGTTTATTTTCATATTTCTATTGAAATATTGTTCTACAAACACAGTTTGAACGACAATCATAATATTGTAAAAAGCATCAAATTTATCATTTTGGTATCCAAAGCAAAAAAGCTTAACTGATTTCATCAAATCAGTTTGATCATGGCATCATTGTAATGATTAGATGTAGCAGTTCTGATTTTATAATCATTCCTCCACAACAAATCTGAATTGAATATTCTGTATATTTTGAAAAGGGTGAACATTCAGTTACTGGACATAACTAAATTAGCTGGCCTTTCATAAATTTGTCCATATTGCTGATGTCTGATGATGAATCACTGGAACCGAATAATGTTGGCATCTAGGTCAATTTCTGAGCAATCTTGGTCTTTTGCTGGAACATGGGATATTTTTGCTCTATAAAGTAACATCTCCAACTTGAGGTTGCCTTGAAATCTTTGCTTGACTTACTTAAGTGGGAGGGAATGGCCTAGTGGTATTAATGCTGGAATGTTAATCCAGAGACCTAGATAATGTTCTGGGGATCCAGATTCAAATCCCGCTATAACAGATGGTAGAATTTGAATTCAATAAATATGTGGAATTAAGAATCTAATGGTGACCGTAAATACATTGCTAATTGTTGGAAAAACCTATCTGGTTCACTACTGTCCTTTAGGGAAGGAAACTGCCATCCTTACCTGGTCTGGCCTACATGTGACTCCACACCCACAGCAATGTGGTTGACTCTTAACTGCTCTCTGAGCAATGAGGGATGGACAAAAAATGCTGCCTAGCCAGCAATGTCCTCATCCTGTGAATGAATGAATAAACAAAAATATACACTTTATGAATCTGATAATGATATACACATTTCTCAGACTCATGTCAGTGGTTGACTTCTGTACTCTCACATTTGAACTTGGACATTTTCTTCAAGGTAAATTCTTTCTTCTTCCATTCTTGCACCAGCTTTGTACCAATAAGTAAGTTACACCGCAGCACAGTTATTTGCTAAATTAGCAAATGTTATAACTTTTAACTCGAAACTAGAGTCATACTTCATTCTTTATGCAGGAGGATCCATAGCTGTTTGTCAGTTGCTAGGCTGCTGTGTACCAGCATGTTTAAAATTCTCATGCATGTTCATGGCTGCATGGTCCGTTGCCTCTGCTTGATCCATACACTGACTTAAGATGAGGATAATCCTATACATATATATCTAAGAAGGAAAACAATTGCCAACTCAATGTGAGTATAGCCTTAACTGTGCATTTAACAAGGTTTTTGTTTCTCATTCTTTAATGGGACATTAAAATGCTAGACCTGCATTATTGCCTTTGAACTGAGTAGTTTGCTAGGCATTTCAGACGGCACTTCAATGTGGCTGTTGGTCTGTAATTACTTAGCAGATTTCCCAGATTTTCCTAAAGGACATGTGTGAACCAAATGGACTTTTACAACTATCTATGACAGTTTAACATAATCACTATTAGAGACTAGCTTTAGTTTTTTTTTTAAAATCAGCCTGTTCAGAGATGTTATTACACACTCCTCTAGAGTAAGTGGGACTTGAACTCAGGTCTTCTGGCTCAGAAATAGGAACTCTATCACTGTGCCACAGGATCCCATAGCAAGACTATCTTAATATTCTAGACTTATTAAGTGAATTTAAACTCTATCAGCCACCAGAGTGGCATTTGAACCCATGCCTCTGGAGCAAAAACAGTGCTGGATTATTCATCCAGTGGCATTGCCTGGCATTGAATGGCACAGTGGTAGAAATGATAGGCCATTGTGCTGCTCCTGGCCCTACCCCACCACCGCCATCCTGTACAGAAGCCCCAGCCACCAAGCCTGACCATAGCAGCTCCCTTACAGCATTATTGGGCCCTTATGTCACTATCTCCTCTAAATTAGGTGTCAGTTTATACACTGAGCATAGGCCTAAAAATACATGTTAGTTTTAATACTGGGCTTGGGTGGATTTATATGATGATTTTTTAAATAAAATGTAGTCTTCCTGAAATATTGACTACATTAGAAAATCACTGCAGAATCTTGGTACTCCAATATATCCACCAAAATATATTCTGACAATCCTTTTGGAATTAGTTTTGTGGATACCTATTCAGGAGACTATGGTTTGTGGCCAGGGCTTACGTCACTTCTCGACTGAACATGGTGTTATGGTTGTAGAACCACATTTGTAGTGGCAATCCTTTCCATAACTGGTACACATGAATAACCGTGGCTAACTGATGCTTTTTCCTTTCATTGACTTCTCTTCTGTCATCAGGTTGTTTCTTTTAACAGCTATCATTTCCCACTTTTTCTTACTACTTGGCTCCAGACACTCTAGTCAGCAGCAAGAACTTCTCATGCATCAACTCTGATCCTGTTCAACTTGAGGTCTCACTTTCAGATATCCTTTTATCACAGACATGGGTAACTTGCAAGCTCACCACACAACATATCTTTGAGAATGCACCATCATCCATTCAGCAAACATGATCCAGTGGAGTAATCATTGACTCAAGAGGGCAAATAAAAAAAACATACAGGAGTTCCTTACATACTGGTTTACTTCCACTTTATCCAGCTAGGAGATGCCCAAAAGTTATGAGGAACTTTTCTTGACTTGCTTCACCACTGTAAAGAGTGATGCTGAGACACAGGTCTTGTACTTGTGGAACTTTATATTTTCTGTTTGTTTGCGATTGGTAAAAACACACTTCCTCAATATTTAATATGTTAATTTCAACATCAAGGGACAGATTGCTCGTGATTCTTGTTCCAAGGTATGTGAAGCTGCCAGTGACTTCTAGATTGAGATAATCAATGATGATGGAAGGTGGAGTTTCTACATCCTAGTTGATAACCTTAATCTTCCTAACTGATTGTTGATCTCAACTCATTGGTTCTTCAGGGCCTACAATCTTCATGTACGACATCAACCAGCAAGAACTCCCAGACTGGGACTTTATGGAAATAAAAGCAAAACACTGCAGACACTGGTAATCTGAAATAAAGAGATAACATGCAGAAGAAACTCAGTGGGCCCAGCAGAATCAATGGAGACAGAAACAGGAGTTAATGATTTGTGTCCAATGTGATTGTTTTTCATATTTCAGATACCTATTATTTTGCTTTCTTATAGGACAATATGTAGTTTAGTTGTGATGTGCATTCTTGCCAGTTGAACAACCTGCTGTAAATCCTAGTGTACAGGTGGACATCCCCATTTATCAGCAGAAATGCACCATAGCAACAGAACAGTCTGCCAAAGAAAGTTGGTGCCAGGACCATGTGGTAATGCTGATGTTGATAGCATCTAATATTGCTCAATTGCAACTGATAAAACTGTGCATGTTATGGAAAGAATAAATAATTCCCAAAAGTCAAGGGGGCTGGACAATTTTCCACAACAGTTTGAAGAGTCTATTTCTTTAATGAGATAAAAGCTGTTGGTGAAATCTATGAAGGCATTGTGCTGTTCATGGTAATTCTGTAACTGAAGTGAGAAAACCATGCTGACTGTACATTTGAAAGCACTGGGCCACAGAGACTCCAATGTTCGCAATGTGGTTGAAACAATGCAAACAAAGACCTTCTCCACTCTGCAAGCAGCTGTCTCCGTAATTGCTGCAATCTGATTCCCCCTTTTTTTAAACATGGTGACTGATTGCATCACACATCTTGAGGCATTGACTGTCCTTTCTAGAGACTCATTAGTTCATGAAGACGTTGCAAGAGTGCCATCTTCCACTTTTGATAATTAGAAATGGAATGCCATCACTTCCTGGGGCTTTGTCACCGATAAAACATTTTGAGCCATATTGTCCAGCTCCTCCATGACAGGAAAGTCTGGAATGGCACTGATGGCTTCTTAAGTAATGTAATCCATTGCACGGAGCTTCAGGCAGTTTGAGCACCCACTTTTCAACTGGCTGCTAGTTTCAGTGATAATCATCCCTGTCCCGTGTCCTCAGAGGAGTTGATTTTGTTGCTCCTAGGCTGTTGCTTTAATTCCTTCATATATGCTTTTAGGCTCTCTGAATTCTGCATGCTCCCTGAATGCTGTTGCAGAATTTCAACAAGTATTTGTACTATGTTGAGCAATCTGCCAAGATGTGTTTCTGGTAGCTTTTGCAGAACATCCAAATTTTGTTTGCTGGTAGCTCATGAGAGCTGTCCTCCTAACTGTGTTAACTGACATAATTTAAGTCCAGTGAGTACAAATTATATTCTGATAGGACTTTGTGTAAACCCTGTAATTGCATTTTTTATTGGATGGATCAATTCAAAATGTGGTTATTTCAAAATAGCATTGGTACTGCATACAATAAATGTATTGTGGCAAAAAAATACACAGAAAACATAACTGCAACATAGCATAATTATGCTTTATTGTAAAACATGCTATGACTTCAAGAACTATTTTTATTGTAAACTTTGGACTAAAGTGTACACATGTACTTAGGATACATTTATATTCAAACATTTGCAACTATAAACCTTCAGAGCTGACTATTAGTTGTTGGGGAAAATCCATCACCAGCAACACCTATATCAAGAACTTAATGCCATATCTTCACTTCAGAGTTCGGACTGTAAAATGCCTTTTGGAAAATGTGCGGTGAAGTTGAAAGTTTTCAGATCATACATCATCCTTTCTCTAACTAGTGTTCAAGTATATTTAATAACAAGAACATACAGAAAATTTGAGCAACATAATCTTGGAATGGAGCCAAAAATATACTTGCTAGATAAACAGCTCGTTACTTTTAAGTCACTTGTCTCAGTACGTCAACGTCCTCTCTACTTTTCTGTGGAATATGCTCTCTTCATCAATGGAGGTGGTGCTTTACTTGTTTCATACAACATTTCTAACGGTGGGTTACTCAGGCAGCACCAATCAGGAATGCGACCTGTCTGGTTATAATATTCCTTGGACACTGAACGACTGCCCAAAATGTCCTGCAGAGCACCAAAAATGGCCCCTAAAAGTAAGTAAATGTAACATTTAGATTAAAACAGAACAAACAACGTGTATTCTCTGCCTCACAGTCTTCCAGTTATCTAACTTTCTAGCCGATATTATTCCAGGTTATATGTCATAAATAAAACATTTTGGGGCTACCAAGCAGAGCTAAAGAAAAGTTTGAAAAACTATGAATAGTTATGAATAGTTCAGAATTTTTCATGCTGACTGCCAATATACTTACCTACAATATCAGTCAAGCCAATATTTAAAGACATACCAGGTTATGAATGATTTATGCATTAAAAAACTGAATACTGGACAATGCATAACAACAATTAAAAACACTGCTGCATTTCACAATGTGGAAGGAGATCCTTGATCGCAATTTACAATGTAACATCCATTGCAGTCAACAAGTACGTATCATGCAGACTCGACCTGTTCGGATGATGCTTTGCTAAAACTGTTTCAGCTGTATTTTGTTTGTTAGTCAATGGGGAAAAGGGTTTTACTACAACTTGCTGTTCATGCATTCAAGTCAGTTTACTTTTGGATAAAACTTCCCAGTCTTAGATTCAGACACGTTCTGCTTTTCAGTGCAAAGTATGAAAGTAAAATAACAGAGCCAGTAAAGCTGCCAGGTCTAAGCATCACCAGCATTTTGTTTTTATTTCGAATCTGTATAGTGTTTTACTTGTATTGTTAAAGTAATGAAGCAAAGCTGAATCTCATTCTCAGTAAGTGGGGCAAGTAGAGAATGTGACAGTAGGAGACTCTCTTGTTATGGACACGGTCAAAGAAAAAGTGAAAATATTCATTTGGAATAGCCATAATTTGGGCAGAATTGAAACTCCTCCCTTGAGGGCAGGCTGGGAAGGAGAGGACTGGGTAGGTGGGGACATAATCTGTATACCATCTCTCCCAGAGGCCAAAGGAGTATAAAATAATGGCCTCCTTGCAGTTCTTCTGGTTGAACACAGTCACAGAAGGAGCCCTGACTAAACCTAAATTATAAAAACCGAAAGAACTACAGATGCTGTAAATCAGGAACAAAAACAAAGTTGCTGGAAAGGCTCAGCAGAACTGAGGAAGGGTCACCAAACCCGAAACGTTAACTCTGTTTTTTCCTTCACAGATGCTGCCAGACCTGCTGAGCTTTTCCAGCAACTTTGTTTTTGTTTGTGTTTTAAACCTAAATTATGATTCTTAAGGACCTCCACCCTTAGCTGTTGAATTCTATCAGGGGATCTGCAAATGGCCAAGGAGGGCACGCAGGCAGGGGAGTGGGGGCTTGGTGTCCCAACATTTCAGTTCGTGAATGGGGCTTTCACCAAAAGGGTTACCACACAATCCGTAAATGAGCAATGGCAGATCTTCAAGGTAAAGATACTTTGAAAGAAACCAAATATAATCCCGTTAGGACAGATGGGCACTCATGCTAGATATCCCTTGATGTCAAAGAAAATAGAGGTATGAATCAGAAAATCCCTACAGTGAGGAAACAGGCTCTTCTGAATCTCAGAGCATCCCACACAGACCCATCCCCCTGTAACCCACCTAATCTACACATCCCTGAACACCACGGGCAATTTAGCACGGCCAATCCACCTAACCTGCACATCTTTGGACTGTGGGAGGAAACCGGAGCATCCAGAGGAAACCCACGCAGACACGGGGAGAATGTGCAAACTCCACACAGTCACCTGAGGGTGGAACTGAATCCAGGTCCCTGGCGCTGTGAAGCAGCAGTGCTAACCACTGAGCCACCGTGCCGCCCTATCTGATGCACGTCAGGTGCAGAATACAATAACTATTTATATAGCACTGTTAACCAAGGTGCTTAAAGCAGTTTAATGAAGCAGTCTGATACTTAGACAAAAAGGGATTATTTGCCCAATATCACGTGGCTGAGTCACACTGTTTTGTAATATCTGTGATGTGTCCTGGAAGGTTTTGTGTGTTATATAAATACAAGTTGTTATTATTGGGACACTTATGCCTTGACCAAGCTCTTAATCATGTTTTAAAGAATGACTCAAAGACAAGGGAGGTAGAGGTATGAAAGATTTAAGCTGGAAATTACAGTTGCCCGAGTCCTGAACTTTGACAGTACAAACAATAATGGTAGACTGATCGAAGTAGAGTTGCTTAAAGGTCAGAATTAAGGGAGTTATGGTGCTTCACAGAATCCTAGGGCGGGAGGATATGAAGGATAGGGAAGGGCAAGATCATGGAAAACTTGAAAACAAGGATAAGATTTTTATTTAAAATTGAGGCTTAACCTAGAGGTAAAGGAGGTCAGTGACTTCAAGGGTCATGGTACAAATAAGTCACAAGCAGAGCTTTAAATGTTGTCATGTTTATGGACAGTAAGATGTGGCACCTAAGGGATAGATGACAGAGGCTGGAGAGAAATATACAGCAGAGTCCCTCAGTAGTAAGACCACTTTTTTCCCCTGTGTATTCCAAGTTAAAGGTAGTTATAAACAGTATAATTTCAAAATTTGTATATGACACAAACTTTGTTAAAGACGATGACAGTATTGGACTTCATTAGGCCATAGATGAATGAGCAGATCCATGGCAGATCAATTTAATGCAGCTAAGTATGAAGTAGTGTACTTTGGGAGAAAGCAAACAGGAAAGTGTGTGGAATACTTGGCCTTACAAATAAGAAAAATAAGAATATCATGCTCAATCTTCGTAAATCACTAATTTACAATCATTAAATTGTAAAGTACAGCTCTGGGTATACATTTTAAGGAGAATGTCAATGCCTCGGGGAGGTTAGACTGGAAACCTCTTTTTAAAACTTCATTAATGGGATGTTGGTGTCGCTGTTGGGCCAGCATTATTGCTTATCAATAGTGGTACGTTGCCTTTTTGAATCTGTGCAGTCAATGTTGTGCAGGAATACCCAGTATTAGTGAGGAATTTCCAAGATATTGGCACATGGAATCAGTCCACAGGCAAAACAGTTCCAAATTAAGATGGTGTGGGATAAGAAGGGATCTTGCAGGAGGTAGTGTTCTCATGTGCCTACTGTTCTTGTCCTTCTAGGTATGAAGGGTAGGTTTGGAACATGTTGTCAGAGGAGCCTTTGTGAGTTACTGCAGTGCATCTTACAGTGGTATACACTGCTGCCGTAATGCAACAGTGGAGAAGGAAGTGAACTTTGAATGTGATGGATGAGGTGTGAAGAGGCTCTTACGTCCTGGATGATGTCAAGTTTCAAGTGAAAGAGTATAACATTACATTCCTACTCATACCTTATAAATGATGGACATGGATTGAGGAATCAGAATGCTAGTTACTTTCTGCAAAATTACTACCTGCTGACTGCTCTTGTGGCCACAATATTCACCTGGCAAGAGCAGTTCAGTTTCTGGTCAATGGTAAATCCCAGAAGGTTAACAGTGGCAAATGAGTGAGCAATGGTAATGCTATTCAAGGTTAGCTTCTTTCTTGCTTAAAGCGGTTATTGCTTGGCACTTGTTTAGCGCAGCATGAACGTTACTTGCCACTGATCAGCTCAAAGCTAGATGTTGACCTGGTCTTGCCAAATATGGACATGGGTTGCTTCGGTATCTGAGGTGCTGTGAATGGTGCCGAATATTGTGCAGTCTTTAGCAAACATCCACACTTCTAGCTTTATGATGGAGGGAAGGCCATTGACAATGCAGTTGAAGACAGTTGACCTAGGACAGCACCCTGAGGAACTCCTGTAGTAATGTCCCAGACTGGGAAGATTGATCTCCAAAAACCACAACTGTCTTGTTCTGTGCTCTGTTCCCACCTCATCCTCCAATTCCCACTAAATCTAGTTTTGCTAGGGATCCTGGAGGTCAGGCAAATGCTGCCTTTATGACAAGGGGCAAGTCACTCTCACTTCTACCCTCAAGTTCAGCTCTTCCATCCACCAAGGCTGTAATGAAGTTTGGAGCTGAGTAGGTATGGCAGAACCAAACTGACCATCAGTAAGGTCCAGAGGATGCAATCTCTGAATAAATGGGCACCAGTTTAAGACTGAGGATGAGGTAGAATGTCTCTGCAACTTCAGAGATCTGTTGGAGCTCTTGTATATATGTAGGGCTGAGATAGATAGAGTCTCGATCAGTAGGGGAGTCAAGGGTTATGGGGAAAGGGCCAGAAAGTGGACATGAGGATTGTCAGATCAATCACATACTTACTGATTAGCAAAGCTGGCTTGAGACGCTGAACGGCCTACTCCCGTTCCTATTTCTTATGGTTTCATGGTCTAAGCAGATTATTGTTGAGTGAGTGCCAGTTGATAGCACTGTTGACAACATCTATCGTCACTTTGCTTATGATTGATTACTGCCCATCAGTCTCCTGTCAAGCAGGTTGGATATGTCCTGCTTTTTCTGAGCAGGACATAATCGGCCAATTTTCCATATTGTCTGGAAGATGCCATAGCCATACACAACTGTACTAGAACAACTTGGCTAGGGACAGGGCTTATTTCTGAAAACCAGTCTTTAGTACTATTGACAGAATGTTGTTAGGAGCCATAGTCTCTGCAGTGCCTGCAGCCATCTCTTGACATCACGTGGAGTACACTGAACTGGCTGAAGTCAGAGAAGATTTACCTCACTTTTGACTTGTAAATGCTTCAACCTCATCTTTTAGCTAAGCTCCCCATCATTAAGGACAGAGGTATTTGTGAAGCCTCTTTCCCCTCCAATGAGTTGTTTTAAAATCCACTGCCATTCACAACTGGATGTGGCTGGATTGCAGAGCTGAAATCTGATCCATTGTTTGTGGGATCACTAGTGGTTGTCTAACACATGCTGCTGAGGTTGTTTGACATGCAAATAGTCCTGTGTTGTAGCTATAGTTGACAGTTAATTTTTAGGTATGCCTGGTTCTACTCTTAGCAGACCCTCCTGCACTCTTCATTAAACCAGGGTTGATATCCTGGCTTGATTGTAATGGTAGGGTGGGGAATAGGTCAGGCCATGAGGTTACAGATTGTAATTCAATACAATTCTGATGCTGCTGATAAAGGCCCACAGTGCCTGTTGGATAACCAGTTTTGAAGTGTAAGATCTGTTCAAAATCTTTCAATTGGCCTGGGTGTCAAGTGAAACAACACAATGGAGGCTAGAACAAAAACAGAAGTTGCTGGAAAAGCTCAGCAGGTCTGACAGAATCTGTGAAGAAAAAAAATCAGAGTTAACGTTTCAGGTCCGGTGACCCTTCCTTGGAACTCTGGAGGCTAGCCTCAGTATGAAGGGGGACTCTGTCTAAATAAGGAGCGTGCAGTGGTCACTGGTACTAATACAATCATGGACAAATGCACCTGCTAGAGGTAGACTTATGAGAACAAACTTGAGTACACATTTCACTTAGCATCTGCTGCATGCTCAGTCTAGTAGCTGTTTGCTTTCGGACTTAGGGAGCTCAGTCAGTAGTGGTATTACTGAGCCTCTCTTGGTGCTGGACATTAAAGTCCTCCAACTACAGTACATTTTGGGCTCAGTGCTCCCTCCTAGTGGTGTTCAATATGGAAGAGAATTAATTTGTTAACAGGGAAGGAGGATAAGAAACGTAACTGGGGATCAGCATGAGGCTTCCTTGCCAATGCTTGACTTAATGCCATGAGGCCCACTCTCAATGTTGAGGACTCCCAAGGCAAATCCCTCCCTTTTGCATACAATAGCGACACCACCTCTGGTGGCTTGCTAGGCCATTGTAGAGATATTCCTGAACCAGATTGTAATACTCTATTAGAGTGATGTTGACAAGAAACTGAGATTAGCTTTCAATTCCAGATTTATGAATTGAATTCAAATTCCACTATGGGAATAAAAAAACATTCCTCCAGAGTATTATCTTTTATCTTTAGACTACTAATCCAATGACAACACCAGTCCACTGTGGCCTCTGCCTTTCTCAACATGCCACCATCTTTGCTTGTCTCTAGGAAGTAAAGAAAAATTTACGTGGAGAGTTTGGAGAAGGTAAGATTACACTCCGTAGGAAAGAGCAAACAAAAATTTTCAAATTCATGAAAATGTTTTGGTACAACAAGCAGGAATAAGTGTTATATTTAGCAAATAGGCAGAGAACCAAAGGTCATAGATTTAACATAATTAGCAAAATAGAATTGAAAAGAAAATCCTCTGTGCAGGATAATAGTATTATGATAATCTGGAATAACCTTCTTAATGGCTGTACATACAGATTCCATCAAAACTTTCAAAAGGTAAATGATATTTGAAGAGAATTTGCAAGATTAGAAAAGGATGGGGTATGGGATGAGGTTGGATAGCTCCTTGAAATAGGTGGCACCAGCATGATTTAAAAGAATGGAAAGACATATTATGCTCATTATGTTTTAGTATATTGCTAAACATATTATACTCTTTTAGTTTATCAGATTTGTAATTTTTGCGTTATTTATCCACTCTTTTGGTAAATCACAAGTTTATGAAATTATATAATTTTCAATGGAAGTTTTTAAAACCATGAAGGGTCTGGACACAGGACACAGAGAAATTTCCCGCTTGATTGAGGGGGGATCTTATAGAAACATATAAAATTATGAAGGGAATAGATAAGATAGAAGTAGAGAGGATGTTTCCACTGGCAGGTGAAGCTAGGACAAGAGGGCATAGCCTCAAGATTAGAGGGAGCAGATTTAGGACTGAATTGAGAAGGAACTTCTTCACCCAGAGGGTTGTTAATCTATGGAATTCCTTGCCGAGTGAAGTAGGTGATGCTACTTCAGTAAACGTTTTTAAAGAAAAGGTAGATTTTTTTTTGAACAATAAAGGAATTAAGGGTTACGGTGAGAACGCGGATAAGTGGATCTGAGTCCACGAAAAGATCAGCCATGATCTTACTGAACGGCAGAGCAGGCTCGAAGGGCCAGACGGCCTACTCCTGCTCCTAGTTCTTATGTTCTTATACAAGTATTAAGAACAATCGAATCATTTAAAGTATTTTGCAAAAGAGCAAATGCAAGATGAGAAAAATATTTTCACACAGTGAAAATAGTTAGGTGCATTGCCTGGAAGTGTGGCAGGGGCAGGTTCAATTGAGGCACTCGAGACATGTTAGATAATTACTTAAATAGAAACAATGTTCAAGATACAAGGAAAAAGGAGATTAGCACGAAGCCAAAATGCTCAGAAAGCCAGTGAGGGCATGATGAGTCAAATGACGTTCTTCCGCACCATAATAATCCTGTGACATTATCTATCTGTACGATTAAATATCATCAACGATTCTGATTTTACAATCCGTACAGATCTTGAACAAATCTGTTCAAGATTTTGCTGCATCAGTACTTGTAAGTCACACCTACTTGTGTACAAGCCCACTCTATAATTGAGACTTTGCCCCACAAACCAATATGGAGTCAAAACATGCTCTGCACTGATGGAAGAAATTGGATAGATACCCTACTGCACACCATTTTCATCCTGGGCACAAAATTATTAATGCTCAATAATTATCTCTTGATACAAAAAAAGCTATTCATAAATACTTAATTAATCCAGAAGTATTATAGAAGATAGTCTCACCTCCTAACCAAGCTACTGTATTTGGTTTTGCAGGTGGAGTATGCACTTTGAATGCCTTGGCTCCCAACACTTCTTTATATTTTGGTTTTTGGACGAGATAACGAATTTCAGCCATAATTCGATGTAGAAAGCCAGGTAGCATAGCAGTTCCACCAATGATTACAAGATTCTCTGCTAGCTGCTTTCTTGTGTCAATAGGGCACTAGCAACAATTTAAAAGAAATATTTTAGTAAAACAGAAGCATCATAGTTTTATTTCTCTCAAAACTATGCATTACATTCACCCAACATGACAAGTGATTGATCTACTCCAAATCTGCCAACACTCATATTGAGGAGTGATAGGCCGGGAAGTAATGGACCGTGAATCAGGAAGGCTTTGCCTTCAAACCTCTTAGATCACACCCCCCCATTCCTTCCCCTTACTCAAAGAAATACACAATTTCTCCCCAGTGAAACCAACATTACCACTTAAGAAGAAAAGAATAAAAACATCAAACCTCTACTTGCTGTAGCACATTTTTATGTAGCAAACCAGCATTACCAATTTCAAATTTGCACCAGAAAGAACTTACTTTATACAGTATTTTCCATGTCCTCGAGAAATCCCAAAACACTTCCCATCAAATTATTTTTGAAATACAATCACTAATTTTGTAGAAAATGGAGTAGCTTGTCCAACACCGTAAATGAGATAAATAACCAATTAATCTCTTTTGGGGCAAGGAGAGGAAGAGGCTTTTGTAGCTTTGGGAAGTTATATTGGACAGGACACTGGGACAACTCCTTTCTCCTCTTCAAATACTGCCTTAGAATTATAGCAGTCAGAGGATAGTACTACCACTGAGCTACACTGCCACTGAAACTATACTGAAACCAGAGTCCTATCATAGTAGTAGCATTTTAACTCTGCGTCACTGACATATTTAACGGCAAATTACGACGCTGCATCGAAGTAGACAGTTTTTCTAAAATATATCCAGTAAATTTGGCACACTGCAATTTCTTACCTGTAAAAGTGAGTCAAGAATTAAAGTGGCAATGGACTTCTCTTCATTATCTTGTTCAAAGAGAATTTCAATTATAGAATCTCTGCAAATAAAAAAAGGGAAACCTTGAACTAAAAATTTAAACAAATTACTTGGTTTACAATGACATCACAAACAACTAATTTAATTTGAGTCAAAAATAAGAAAGCAAACTTAGAGTACAGTATTATTCCTTAATTTAAAGCTGAAAACTTGACAATTAAAAGTATACATTCGAAATTCATAGATTGACTATATGTTAACGAATTCTAAAGTTCATTAAAAGTGTTTTAATGTAGCTATTTTATTTGGTTGTTAAAGTTTGTTTACAAATATGATTTTGCTGACAAGTACACATAAGAACATAAGAACTAGGAGCAGGAGTAGGCCATCTGACCCCTCGAGCATGCCCCGCCATTTAATAAGATCATGGCTGATCTTTTTGAGACTCAGCTCCACTTACCCGCCCGAGCACCATATCCCTTAATTCCTTTACTGTTCAAAAATTTATCTAGCCTTGCCTTAAACACATTGAGAGGTAGCTTCAACCGCTTCACTGGGCAGGGAATTCCACAGATTCACAACCCTTTGGGTGAAGAAGTTCCTCCTGACCTCAGTCCTTCATCTGCTTCCCTTTATTTTGAGGCTATGCCCCCTAGTCCTAGTTTCACCTGCTAATGGAAACAACCTTCCTGCCTCCACCTTATCTATTCCCTTCATAATCTTATATGTTTCTAGAAGATCTCCCCTTATTCTTCTGAATTCCAATGAGTATAATCCCAGCCTACTCAGTCTCTCCTCATAATCCAACCCTCTCAACTCTGGAATCAACCCAGTGAATCTCCTTTGCACCCCTCCAGTGCTAGTATATCCCTTCGCAAGTAAAGGAGACCAAAACTGCACACAGTACTCCAGGTGTGGCCTCACCAGGACCCTATACAGCTGCAGCATAGCCTCCCTGTTTTTAAACTCCATCCCTCTAGCAATGGCAGACAAAATTCCATTTGCCTTTTTAAATACCTGCTGCATCTGCAATCCTACTTTTAGCGATTCATGCACACAGACACCCAAGTCCCTCTGCACAGCAGCGTGCTGCAATTTTTTTTACCATTTAAAACATAGTCCACTTTGCTGTTATTTCTACCAAAATGGATGACCTCAAACTTGTCAACATTGTACTCCATCTGCCAGACCTTTGCCCACTCACCTCGACTACCTATATCCCTCTGCAGACTTTCAGTGTCTTCTGCACACTTATTGTAATTTAACATCAATCTCTGCTGTTCATGTTAAACTTTCCTTATTTTTTCAAAATGGTATTTCCAAAATCAAAGAATTTTTTCTGTTTTCTTCAAATCCATGTTAAAATACCAAATACTTGACATCTGATATCAAATACGTATCATTACAGGATTAACTGTATCCAGGTCATTAGGGTTAATTGTCAATTCTCTAGTGTTCACAAAAATGGAGTTGGCTGGAACTGTGGTTGTTGGTGCAAGATATATAATATGTCCTTCTGTAAAGGAAAGCTCACATATAAAAAGACTAGGCCTCAGAGTTATATCTTCATCCAACTACCTTGAGTCATAATAATTGATTTTGGTCAATTGTATATTTTCTACCTGAAAAAAAAAATTCCAGTGCATTGAGAGATAGAGAAATATTTAAAAACCAAAAGAACTGTGGATGCTGTATATCAGGAACAAAAACAAAGTTGCTGGAAAAGCTCAGCAGGTCTGGCAGCATCTGTGGAGGAGAAAACAGAGTTAACGTTTCAGGTCCAGTGTCCCTTCCTCAGTTCTGAGCTTTTCCAGCAACTTTGTTTTTGTTGTTGTAGAGAAATATTTAGTTCGAATGCATTTATATTCTCAATCTTGTTTCTGTATTCACTTGCTTACTAACTTTTACAACGAGGGTTTTAAAAAAATTTGCTCTTGGGACATGATTAACAGTGGCAATGCCAACATTTGTTGTCCATGCCTAGCTGCCCTCAAGAATGTAGTGGCGAGTCCCTTTTATGATCCCTGTGGATCATAATCCCTTTCTTCTGTAGTGGTTTGACATAATTTAGTGGCTAGTTTGGCTATTTCAAAGAGGAATTAAAGGTCAACCATATTGTTGTGGATCTGGATCATATACAGGCCAGGGCAGGTAAGATTGCAGATTTCTTCCCATGGTTCACTAATGTGTGCAACCTCTCCCTGCTACTCTAGCGTATAGTTACTGAGCTCAAACAATGAACTTAACCCAAGATTTCTCTACCCTATATAGTGGATAACTTTTGTTAACAAAGTCATTGAAGAAGCCAGATTTGCACACTTTTTATAAAATATGTCCTCATAGTAGCTGACTGACTGATTACTTAGATCTATTTCCTTCCAGTCTGCTCTCTAACAATATTGCTCACGAGTGTATATTAATAACTTCTCAGTTGAAAAACTCTAAAAGTCAATTGAAGGGTATCACTAATGGTGTCATCAGAAACCAAATGAATAATTGCCCAATTGCTTCCGAATAAAAAGTGGTTGAAATGAAGACTACAGCAAATAGGGAAGTCGAAGTCTCAAACTCTACTTACCACTTTAACACATTCTAGCCCATCCCTTTAATCACAACCCAGGTACTGCAGTTTAATTTATATCATTTATACTAGTAATCCAACCTGATTGATCCGCTGACATGTAAAATTCTCTCTCCATCCAGAGGATATGCCACATCCGGAGGTTGTTGGGGCCGCTATAAGTAAATACAGAATACCAAATTAGTGCCATGCATTGATTTTATATCTCAATTAGTCAAACATATTTGCCAGCTGACCTCAGCTTTTCCATCAATGTTAAACTTGGCAGCTTGAATTTTCAGTCCTCTTTGCAGATCACTTACAAAACAAGTACAAACTGAAAAGCAAAATTAACAAAAAAAAAAATCAATTCTTCCAAAAATATGAACAAACATTTCAAATCAAATTTATGTTTATTTAGCACAGTTTAATATTGACAACTTTGCTCCTGCTTCATCCTAATTTTTACTGAACATTATTTCCATATATGTTATGCGCTTCCTTTTCTTAAATCAAACTTTATATCAAAATACAATAAAGTTATTTCATACTTTTAAAAGTAGTACAAAGCATGTTAATCCTCGTGAAGAGATTATGAGCACACACAAGCTTCACATGCAACTTTACATCCTCACAAAAATAATCTGATTAACCTTTAAAATGTTACACCAAAAACATTAATTGATATTGCTATTTCAGTTCATGAATCTTTTTCACATGGTGACATTTTTGTATTTCATTTTAGTCTTTACAACATTTGTACTGTCGTTTTTATTTGAAGGGATTATATTTATGATATCAATCTTCCAACTAGCAATTAAAGAACCAAAGATAGCTCTTACCTTTAATATCCTCAAGAGTTTCTTCCGGAATTGAGCCTATTTAAATGAATTTGGGAACAACATTGAGTCCAAGTTACACAACATTACATTTAAAATGTTAAATACTGGATGTCAATTATCTGGTTAAGTTATACTAAATAACTTTAAAAAAGGTGATACATTTAAAAATCCACATAAACCAAACTTTTTGCTACTTGTGTTTCAACCAATTTGCACACAAGAGTACAGTACAAAAAATACATCTGAGGAAGCAAAGCATTTTGAAACCAGATTGTCCTGTACGATTTCTTTTTTAAATTCAAGAAATATTTGCTAAAGTGCCACAGAATACGTGTAAATATGCAATATATTAAAAATTGGCATTTCAATCCTTACTCATCACAGATGCTAATCCTTCTCCAGTTTTGGTCCCTGTGTCCACAGTGCACTCTTCTAATAACCGTGATTGCAACTCCCTTTAGTAATAAAATAACAGTTTGTATTTTTTCCACTTCAATCTTTAAATGTGGTGAATATGTATTAATATTTTTATATGCAGGTGGTACATATTTTAAATTCTTACATATGGATTGATTTTCCTCCCAGAGGAAGTGCTTCCCAGGCATTCAAAATAGGAATTCCTTCATATATCTGTTAAAGTTAAGCTAAGGTCAAAGTATAAAGCAATATGGATAGTGAATGGCTGTCACCTATTTTGTCGAGATAAAGTAGGTGACCTGTGTGTGCATATTCTTTCTGTATACAAAGAACAGGGCCCTGTGCATTAATCTATTTAGTTTCCAGAACAAACTACAAGCCCAACTGACAATCCACAATTCATTATGAGCACAATTCTTCAAACAGAAAACAAAGGGAAGATATTTTTGGATACCGTGGAGGATATTAACAGATAAAATTCCTAACAGTAGCCTATTTCACCCATACCTTTGACAAGGCTGTCACAGACACGGTTGCCGCGTTTAACTGCCAAATATGGTTATGATGATTGAACCAATTCAACAACATGCTCAAAGAAAAGGTGTTTAAAAGATTCAATTTATATCTCAAAATTAATGCATAGGCCACATTTCTAGGGAAATTCTGGTCTTCTGAATGTAAGACTAAGGAAACATTTTCACCACAGTGTTGAAGCAAACATTACAGTACCCAACTATCTACATCATAAATCACTAGTGCATAAGTGGTTCACTTCAACAGTCAACATTCTCTTGTCTCATTATTTCTCATTTGTACAGAATTTTATTTGGACATATTTTACCTAAACCTATTTACTTTTCTACTAGAATATTATATTTAAAATATTCTACTAAACAAATGAAACAGCACAAATTGTGTCAGTAATCAAAAGCTAAAGGGCAAATATATTGTAATATTACAACTGCAGTCCAGCCTTAAAACTCATTACAATGGGAAAGGCAGCCAATGAATGAGCCATTTTAGTCATGGTCAACAGAGCCTGAAAGCACAGTACATAAACAAACATCTGTATGAGGGGAAATATGCAAATCCATTTTGTACAAATGGATTTATTCAATCCAGGAAGAAGGAAATTAGAAATCAAAAGAGGACCTTCCTTTGTGAAAAATTATCACAATGCCATTAAATTGTCAATAAGTTTGATTTCCAAAATTATTTACTACAACCATGTTTCTATTTATTTGCAGTATTATTGCCCAAACACTACACTGATGATGACTAAAAACTAGGTAAGTCTTGAGTAATCAACTTCTATTTCGCCTGTTATCAAAACACATTTTCAAAAGGATACAGGCAATGCTAGAGCTTCTGTATATCCACAATCTAATACCACAGCAGAATTGATACCAAGAGTCAGGAGAGACATGAGATGGCTTGGAGCAAATAGCACTGAAGGAACCTACAAAAACACAAGTAGAAGATCACAACCTATTTCTGATTTTAAATTATCTCCCCTGTATTCAATTTCTATGTAAAATCGAAATGTAATACATTGAAGTACCAATTTCCCCATTACAGAGACAATTGCCGGTTCTCTGCTTCCCTTTGCGTTGTTATAGTGTGGTACTCCACCTAGTGGTATGGCAAATACCCAACAAACCTAATCAGTTTCTGCAATTGAAAATGCAACACTAATGTAATGCAATATTAACATTTCTCATCATTTTCATTGCATCAACAGTAAGATTATAGATGCCATCGTAATATATTAACTTCTGTATCATCCGATTGAGAAAGTAGATGTTGTGTCATTGGTCATTCTCAAATACTAAAATCTCACTGTTAAATGGTGCAGTAGAGTTGTCTAGGTCTGTGTGATAAAAATAGGTAACTTCTTGGTCACAAATCTATTCTGGCAAGTTTCAAAATCCAGATTTTTTTGAACTTTTTCAGGAATCATAAAAGCTCAGTAATGAATTTATACAGACAGCCAAAAATATATAAACTAATTTCCAATTATAATGCACTCAGGTTAGTGCAACTTATTTATTCTCCTCCAGCTAAATCACTCCGTACCTCAAAGTGTTTAAAGAACACCCTAGTCAGTGTTTCTCTGAAATGCGATGGGCATAGAATAGACTCAATAATGACAACTCGACGATCCCTTGGGTTTACCAGCAAGTGTCTGTTGAGGAAGGAGGAAAATATAGACGGCATTAAAGTCTAATAGAGAAGTTAATAAATGAGCAAATTACTCAACTAAATTCTGATATTAGAAAATGGAGCAATGAGCATGTAATTCATAATTAAGGTCAACCACATTCTGTTTAGAAGCAAATGAAAATTGTATTTTTTAAATCTCCTATTTTTCTCCCTCCAGAGAAGAGGAAGTAGTAGTCTGACGTCAGTAGGTTATGCTGAATTAAACACGTGTGTATTTCGGATGACCCATTCTAAACAGTAAGGGAGATTTCTTTTAAAAACCTGAATTTCCCTGTACCTTCAACAGAAACTGTAGAAAAACTGCAGAGAGTTTTTGATAACACAGTGTGGACCTGGAGGAACACAGCAGACCAGACAGCATCAGAGGAGCAGGAAAACTGACGTTTCGGGTCGGGACCCTTCTTCAGAGTTTTCGCACTTTTTCTCTGGGGATTTTGCTAACTTGCAATGATGTGATAGTAAGAGATATGCAATTTCCGCCCTTCCCCTTGGGAATTTTATCCTGGTGTTTTTTTCAAAAACGATAAAATATATTCTTGCACATGTTCCAGCAGCTACATAATGAGTAGCATGGTAGGGATTTGGAAAACGTCTGCTCTCCTTGCTTCAGGAAGAAACTTTTTGTAAAAAGCAAGCAACTGAAAAATATAAATGGAAATTCTATTATGTTCTAAATCTCAACTTACTTTGCATGTAAAATACAGAAAACTTTGTTTTAATCAGCACCTTATTAACAGGCAGTCTTGATAAACCAGCAAAACTTATTTACCTGAAATAAAATTTTACTGGATTATCGCAATCTCAGTGATTTCAGAGTAGTTATTTGAGGGTACAAGTGAGAAGGTTCTCTGCCAGTAAGTTTTATTTAAGGCAACGCTGCATTATTATTTAAGTGATTAATGCTGTAACTGAAAGTATGACAGTGATGTGTATACTCGCTGCATTATGGTTCTATTACTTAGTGTGTGTTTTTAATGTTGATTATGTGGACCTTCTGATCAGAATATTTGATCAACTAGCACACACCTGGTTAATAAAAGTTTGGCTGTACTATTAAAAGATCAAATTACAGTATTTATAAAATAATCTTTAAATTTAGAATACCTGAAATACAGCATGTGAATGAATTCCTTCAAATAACCATAAAGCTCTTCAGTATTGATGTTAAACTGAACTACTTTGGAAGCCTGAAAAATAACAAGCAAAAACATTACTAACAATTAAGATGTGAATTCGGAAGGTTACAATTTACAATCGCTCCCTGAACATCTACAGTGATGGATACTGATAAAATTAGTAGTACCACTCTCTCGCAAACAGTTCCTGTATATTATTGTTATTAAAGCTGTAAAGCATTCCTATATGACTCACGGTTAGTCATGTGTAAAAATTGTAATAAATACTAGATATATTGATTTCTATGAAAAACAGTTTATGGTCACATTGAACTCTAGGCACTATCAACACACAGTGTTATCCATATTAGGCAATATAACTTCTATGTTGCAAGTATGCAACAAATTCTGACAAGGTTGAAAATTCAAACTTGAATCAAAGCTGGCAGAAAAATCCATGGCTGGAGAACGAGTAGAGAAGATAAGAAGCATCACACTATACAGCCAGTCAATGACAAAAAAGGAATCACATATCTTGCCCTCTTCCTCCTTTAATTGGAAAACAATCAATCAATCAATCTCCTTTCCCAACAAGGAACGAAATTTACCAGTCCAACACACTGCCCCCACCCCCCTCCAAGAGAAGGATTTATCCCTCAAAAAACCCATACATTCCCCAAAAGGAGGGATGTTGAAGCCTCTATTATGCATATTGGGAAGCAGGAATAGAACGGTTTAATCTCCCCACAGAGCTAACCACTTCACAAAAGCCAGTAGTATTTCCCATTCCAACTTATCCACTGGCTGCCAATGTTTCCCACCAAACAGTTACAAATCCTCTGCAGATCCACTTAAAAATTTTCTTATTCTAACTCCTCCCCTGAAATTCCTACCACTGAATTCACCTACAAAATATTCTCATCTGTTTCATTCATCATTTCCTCACCCCATTCATCTGAATTCCCCATTCACAACAGTCTTTTATTTCTTCTCCTCTAGTTTTCTTCCTATACCTTCCTTGCCTTTCTTCTCCTGAGGTCAGCTCTTTAAAACCCACTCCTTATCTTCCTTGATTGGAAAGCCCTCAAGTACCCACACGCAATGCTGCAGGAGACTGTAACGTTTATTAATTCCTATAATTCAAAAAGTATTCTTTAATATGGCAACAAATCTTTGCAACTTACGTACTTCTGTTTTAAAGACTCTACATCATTTTCGGCCATTTTGGTGGATTTAGAACAACTGAGCAATTTTGCTTAATGAAAACACTAAACTCCATTCTCAAGCCACTGAACCAATCCCTCTCTCTGGCAATCAGCTGAGATTAAACCAGTCTGATTTCAACCATACGATGTTGTATTTGACCCAGAGATGAACTTCAACCTCATATTCAGACCCCCAGTAGACCATCTATTTCCACTCCATAATATTATCTTACCTCATCCCATTTCTACTCATGTACTATTTAAATTCTTGTTCATGCCTTTAATGACTATTGATTTCATTATTCCATTGTATTTCTGGTTGATTTCCCACATTCGACACTCAGTAAATTTAGATCATCCAAAAATCAACTGCCATATCTTAAATAGCACCAAGTGCTGTTTATCTATCACCCATGTGCTGCTGACCTACACTGGTGCCCAGGCAAGTAATGTCAGTTAGGATTTTGTAACTGCACTTGTAAATAAATTAGCACAAAGTACTTTTGTTGCACACTCCACCATTCTGGAGGCGGAAAATAAGGTTGGGAATTTGGAAAATGCTGACTTTTCCAATGATATCCCCATTCTGAGAACAAATTTCATCATATTAAAAAGTAAAACGTCAGAGGACAACATACAATTTATGCAATGTTATGTACATTCTAAATTCAATGATAAGATTTAAAACTTGGTGAAAGGTTTTCACAGGTTAGAATTCATGCAGTATCTTAATGCATTCGAAAGTGTACCAGCCATTCTAAATTTTAGGGCATGTTGTTAATTGCACTGCAACAAGATAAGAAAACTGAATTTTCAAGCAGTAAACATTTTGATGTTTAAAGGTCACAGGCAGGACAACCTGCTTCTCAAAAGACTCAATTGTTTAAGTTTTATAAAATGCCTAACAGTCTTAATAAACCACATGAACACTTTTAATCCCAACCAGCACGTACCAGTGTGTTATATTCATTGCAGCATCAAAAATGAAATGATATCAAACAACAATCTGAAAAAAAATTCCACAGTCATGGTCCCAAGTAAAGTCGATTACACTTTAAATTGAAAACAGCTTTGCAATTATGTGAGAATTCCATAATATAACTGCTTTTCTGCATTAGGCTTGAGACAAAGTATTGCATAAAAACAACGCTCTGCTAAAGCACTTTACACAAACTGCATCAAAAATCATGAGGGGTCTGGACACAGTAGATAGGGAAGAAACTGTTCTTGAGGGAAGGATCAAAAACAAGAGTACGCATGAGGAAAATCTTTTTTTAGGGCAACGAACAGTTAGGATTGCTTCAGTCTGGTGGAGGCAGTTTTGATCATGGCATTCAAGAGGGAATTGAATTACCTGAAAAGGAAGAATGTGCAGGGCTACATGGAGAAGTTGGGAATAGCTGTTCAGAATAGCTTTCAGAAAGCCACAGACAACAGGCTGAATGGCCTCCAACTGTGTTAACATCATTTTATGGTTCTATAAATTACGTTTTAAAAAGTGTAGATAAATTAAACTTACTTGTGCTAGACCTGGCTTCTTAATTTCACTAGGGATTATGCATCTTGGTCCAGTTTCTCCAGCAAAACCACATCTAGAAGATAACAGAAATCTTGAATGTTAGAGACATAAATAAATACACCTACACAGATTCTGTTTTATTCTCCCAGTACAGCTGCCTCACTATAGTTTTGATTATCCCACTTTCCACGACAGTGCTGGCATGTTTTTCTTCCCTCTTATTGTGGTCAGCAGGACCCTTGACCATTCCCACACAGTTTCTTATGGTACTGCTCTCATCAGGTCCCCTCTCAGAAGCATGAAAGAGTTCCCCTTATCCACACCAGGTCCATATTCAACACATTGTCTTCCACTTTGGAAGAACTGTGTGACCACTTTGCAGAACACTTCTGTTCAGTCTGCAAGCTTGACCCCTAAGCATCTCCTGCATTTTGATTCTCTACCTTATTCTCATGCTGGCATTTTTGTATCCCGCCTCCTGCACTGCTCTAGTGAGACTCATTTCAAGCTGGTGGCACAGCATCTCATCTTTTCATTTGGAACTTTACAGGCTTCCAGATTCTACGGTGAGTTCAATGAGTTTAGAAAATAATCTGTGCTCAATTTGGTTTCCTGTCCTGCTTCGTTTTTCAGTCAGCAGCATACCTGCTGTAACAAATCTTAGCTTTCTTTTCTTGCTCCATCAATCAGCACAAACAGAAGAATGAATTAGGGATCTTCATGGTCTGTATAGATAGCTACTCGCTGAATGAAACTACTCAGCAATTGGAGCAGTAAAAATATGTTCTTTAAACAGAATCATAGGATTTTACAGTAGAGAAGGAGGCCAGTCAACATCTCATGTCTGTAACGGCTCCCAAAACAGCTACATAGCTTGTCCCATTTTCCAGCCCTATCTCCATAGCCCTCTAAATTTATCACTTTCAAATATATATCCAGCCATCTATTGAAACTTTATGTGGAATCTGTCCCCACCATGTTCCCAGGGAGCACATTCCAAATCCTAACAATTCTCCGAGTAAAGAAGTTTCTCATCTCACTCCTAGCATTCTAGCAACTACCTCAATATTTTTTATTTAATTTATTTTTACTAAATAAATGTATTTTCTCCAACTCAAGCTTTACAACAGGCTACTGTAAAAGTTTGTATGGTGTCATGATGGTCCAATAATAAATTGGTTCCAGCACATCATCTAAATAAAACTTCTAAAAGATTACTTGAGCAGCTCCCAACTTTATTACGTTTTGGACACTTTGTAAAAGATCACCAGGAAAGGAGAAGAAGTCAGGTCGAGATAAAATAGGTCTTTCACATCGGTTTGTGAATTGAGTAAAGTGTGCCACCTAATCATTCAGGGCATTCAATGAAACAGATTATTGACAAGACACTGCCTCAGCCATTGTGCCAGATTAAAAAAGACTTTTAGAAAGCTAGACTTTTGAGCTAGAAGAGACAGTTTCCACAGAAATGGTCCAAACTCACCACACACATACTAAATATAGTGCCTCAATCAAGTCCTGCTTCACTATTTTGTCCAGAATATTACACTGTTACAGGTTAGGTTAGATTTCAACTCTAGATTCAAACTGTATCTCATGTTGATACCAAGAAGCAACTATGCTTTGGCATTGCCAATGTTGCAATATAAACCACTTATGTTAGGTGCTGAAATACATGTCTGGTGGCAATTTCAAACAATGCAGTAACAAAGATTTATCACATTTCAAATTTTAAAAGTATGCTCTCTCAAAATCCAAGAAATGTTCGCAATTTCTTTTCTTACTGAAATTAACATATGCAGTTTTCTAACAATTTACCTTTCTTTACATTCAAATAATTGCAAGGATTTGATCAATTAAGAGGTAAGTAGTACTCTCTTCTTCAGGAAGCACCACTAACAAACTAAAACAAAAACTGGAAGAAAACTTGTCATAATCAGAACAGAATTTTAATTTGACGATAAAGATTCCAGTTCTTTTGGTGCCCATTTATAGCGCAAGATGTATGTTCCCATTCCAGACACAGCTACCTGCACAAGACCATCACCAGGTGAGGTAGGATTCCAAATATCTAAAATTTGAGCATGCAGGAAGAATCAGAAAGTTATTTTCTTATCCAATGATCTTAATTTTTTAGAGGAAATGTAAGACAAGGCCAAACAGGTGGTGATGTATCAGTATTGTTTGGCAGGTAAATGACTAGAATCCTTACTTATTCTAATTTGAACATTAAAGAGACATGTACTATCTTTGACACTGATCTGCAACTATTCTACAGGAGCTATCTCCATGCCAGAAAATTGTCTAGGGTGGAAATGCTCCATGAACATTACTATAACATATACTTATGTTGCATCGATAACCCACCAAAATGTCCCAAGGTGATTCACAGAAGTGTCAGTCAAAGAGAACTTTCATAGTTTAGTATTGTTTATTTCATAATTGGTTTGAGAGCTAATAATATTTAAGTAAAATATTGTTTTTAATTTTTTAAGATCTAATGTATATGTTAGCTTTTGTTACACTATGTATTTGAACTTCAGTCATCTGAAAAATTAGAAAGGTCACAAGGAATTTTGTAAATTCTGGAAAATTATACAATGATACAGTTCACATGTAACCCATTACAGTAGTTATCCTTGGAATGAACATAGACCTGACTGAAAACTGCAATTCCTACACCTTGTGGGAGCTTCAAGAAACTTCATGTGTAGAAAATGTCTCCAGCTGCTTTGGCTCAAGCTCAAGATTTCACTGTGAGCATCAGGAAAGGTGAGTGTCTCTGTGATTGCATAATACAGGTGGTGGCCACTTCCTAGGCAATGACAGTTAAGCACAGTAGAGGGTGGCTATCGGAAAGAATAGAACAGGCATGTGGTACAAGGCGCTTTGGCATTTTCACTGGAGATTGCTGGAACATCTTGAATGGCTGCTGTTCAGACCATAGCACTGATAAGCAAGGGACTACACCAGAGAGAACAATGAAGATCAGAAATGCAATTTTTATAGGAGACTCTACAGTCTCTGGAGTGGACAGGCATTTCAGTAACTATCATCAGCTTGGCTTAAAAAACATTGCTTAAAGACAGAAAACACTGAGTAATGGTAAATGATTATTTTTCAGACTGGAAGATGGTGGACTGTGGTGTTTCCTAAGGGTTAATGCAAGGACCATTGTACTTTCATTTCACATAAAAGACCTTGGAGAACAATTTCGGAATTTGCCAATGATACCCACATTACCAGCAATTCTGAATTCTGTCTGGCACAGGTTAGTGGGAAGGGAGGGGAGCCCACATCATGCAATCCTGACCTGACTGGTTTAGTCACAAATGTGAGCATCTCCTAGTACTCTGCAACTTTTATGGAACTGGCAAGCTTATCCAAGACTCACGATTAACAGCCCTTCAGAAGAGTCATGAACCACAGCATTACCATCGCAAATTTCCCCACTTTTGACATCCTAGGGACTACCACTGACCAGAAACTGAATTGACTTGACCTATAAATACCCTGGCGACAACAACAGGTCAGAGGCACCCTGGGTAACACGGTGGCTCAGTGGTTAGCACTGCTGCCTCACAGCGCCAGGGTTCAATCCCAGTCTCGGGCAACTGTCTGTGTGGAACTTGCACCTTCTCCCCGTGTATGTGTGGCTTTCCTCCAGGTGCTCCGGTCTCCTCTAACAGTCCAAAGACGTGCAGGTTCGTTGGACTGGCTGTGCTAAATAGCCCATAGTGTCTAAGGTGGGAAACGCAGGGGGTGGGAGTGGGTCTGTGTGGGATGCTGTTCGCAGAGTCAGTGTGGATTTGATGGGCCAATGGTCTGCTTCCACACTATAGGGATTATATAATCTGATTAGGGAGCCTTTCGAAAGGTAACTTCAAAGAGTTGTATCTATGTCATCCCATGTCTCTCTTCACAACTCCCACCAATGGCCCCTTATAACCCTAATCACCAATGGCCCTAATAACCTCTACATTCATTCATACAGTACATACTAGTACAGAACCAATTAACCATATAATAACAACAGCATGTGCAAAACTGTTTTTAAAAAGAGAGTATTTTTCACAGCAAAGTATTCCTAAAACCATACAAAAGTGTCAAACAATTAAGGTCTGAATAACAGAAACTTTAAGCACCTGACACTTTGTAACCCTGATCAAACAGACTACAAGAGATTACAGAAAACAACTAAATTATAATGGCATAGAAATGTCAATCGAGCAAAGTCAACACTTCTCTGCATCTGTGTAAATAAGCTCTCAGTCATTATAGGAGTATGTCTAGGTGATCAATCAAGCATACAAAATGAGGCTTGGTAGATCATCCAGACACACATGTAAAATGAATGTGCTGGCCTTATTTAATTAGCATACATTTGCCCAATAGACTACTAATTTTGTCCTCAACTATTATTTCTGAAAATATTCCCTCCACGGAGGTTATACTGACTGGCCTGTAGTTGCCTGTACACAATCTTTGAACAAGAGTATAAGATGTGCAATTCTACCATTTTCTGGCACTAGCAAGTCTAACAAAGTTTATGACAAAAAAAAACAAAGAACTGCGAATGCTGGAAATATGAAACAAAAACAGAAATTGTCAGAGACACTCAGTGGGTCTAGCAATATCTGAGGAGAGAAAGAAGAGTTAACATTTTGGGTGCAATGACCCTTCTTCAGAACTTCAGATTACAACCAGTGCCTCTTCAATTGCCACTCTCATTTTCTACGTATCCTTGGATGTACCTCAAGCACCCCTGGTAGCTTTTCAAATTTAAGTGCAACCTATTTAATAGCTCCCCATCAACCCCTCAAACTGTTTGGTCCAACTTTTTTTTTTACACCATGACCAAAGCAATATCTGCTTCTTTGGTAAAGGCACATTCACACTGGATTTAAAAATCGTTTCGAATTTGCAGGTGCCTTCGAATTGTAGTAAATAGACTTCTCTTTCCACCCCATACAGAAACAGATCCAACCGAAAGAACTGCGGATGCTGTAAATCAAAAACAAAAGCAGAAATTGCTGGAAAAGCCCAGTCGGTCTGGCAGCATTTGTGCACAGAAATCAGAGTTAACGTTTCGAGTCGCCTGACCCTTCCTCAGAACGTAACCAGTTAACTCTGATTTCTCTGCACAGAGGCTGGCATAACTGCTGAGCTTTTCCAGCAATTTCTGTTTTTGTGACAGAAACAGGTCCTCCGGCCCAAGTGTTGCCGGGTTGTTTATGTTCCGCACGAAGGTCCTTCCACATTAACCCAGCTAAGTCCACCAGTTCAACCTCGCATCCCTCTCGCGAACTCACTTGGTGTACGCGGCTCCTAGATCAATGACAACGGCGGTCTTCTCGCCGCCAGTGCCCAGTCCCTCAAACAGCGGCATCACGTTCGCTCTCCAACCGACAGTGCCCAAGACCCCAAACCCTGCGCGTCATCCACCGACATCATCCGCTTCACAACCCGCCTTCACAGATTGCCCGATTGTGGACTTAGATAAACAAACACTACGCGTCTCTACTTATTATTTTTGTTTCTGTTTAATGTGACTCGTTGATTAATTTAGTTAAAAACGAAATAAAATCGCAACTTTTTTCGGGCACTTAATTGGGCTCAATAGTCAGTAGAAAGCCCGTCAACCGGGAGGCAGGAGGCAGGAGGCGGGGGCGGGGTCTGGGTGGGGAAGATGGAATGCAATGGGAAGCCGGGAATGGAATGGGATCCAAGTACCGAAGATGAAATGTAGCGGGGTCTGGGTGTGGTAGAAGAATTGAGACAGGGACTGGGTGAAGGTTATAGAATGAGGAGGGGTTTGCATGGGCTAGATCTGTGTATGGGAGATGAAATGGGGCGAGGTCTGGGTGTGGATGATCGAATGGGGCGGGGCTTGAGATTTCGGGTCCGCTCTGCGAGGTACCAACGCTACACCAAGCCCCAGTCCCAAGCCCTGCTGGGTCTTCACCAAGCCCCCAGACCTCCCCCTCACTGAGGACCAACGGTCAGTCCTCAGCAAAGGACTCACTATCATTGCCCTGCGCCCACACATCAATGAATTCCATTCATGTTTGGATGTCACTTTTTCTGCCGCCTCTGTGCCTATTTCTTTAACCACGAATCTAACCCACCCTCCACAGACCCCTTCTCCCGCCTCCAACAAATCTCATCCTCCTGGACACTGACCCACAGCCTTCTACCCTCCCTTGACTTCTTCATTTCCAGCTGCTGTAGCGACATCGATCACCTCAATCTCTCCACCCCTCTCACTCACTCCAACCTCCACTTGAACCTTAACCTCGCCGTCAAACCCACGGATAAGGGGGGGGGGGTTGCTGTAGTGATATGGTGCACTAACCTTTACATAGCCAAGGCCAGACACCAACTCTCTGACAACTCCTACCGCCCCCTCGATCATGACCCCACCCCTGACAAGCAAACCATCATCTCTCAAACCATTCATAACCTCATCACCTCAGGTGACCTCACACCCATAGCCTCCAACCCCATTGTTCCCCAACCCCACATCCCCTGTTTCTACCTCCTTCCCAAAATCCACAAACCTGACTGTCCCGGCCGACTCATTGTCTCTGCCTGCTTCTGCACCACTGAACTCATCTCCGCTTATCTTGGCTCTGTTTGTTTTCCCTAGTCCAGGAACTCCCCACCTATGTCCGGGACACCACCCATGCCCTCCACCTCCTCCAAGACTTACAATTCCCTAGTCCCCACACCTCATCTTCACTATGGACATCCAGCCCCTCTATACTTGTATCCCCCACGCAGATGGCCTGAAAGCCTTCCACTTCTTACTCTCCCGCAGGCCCAAACAGACCCCCTCCACGAACATCCTCATCCACTTAACAGAACTTGTCCTTATCCTTAACAACTTCTTTAACTCCTCCCACTTCCTACAGACTAAGGAGGTGGCCATGGGCCCAAGCTATGCCTGCCTCTTTGCAGGATACATGGAACCGACCCTTTTCCGCTGTTACACTGGCACTGTCCCCCACCTCTTCCTCTGTTACATTGGTGACTGTATCAGCGCTGCCTAGTGCTCCTACAAGGAGCTTGAACAGTTCGTGAACTTTATTAACACCTTTCACCCCAACCTCAAATTCACCTGAACCATTTCAGATACCTCCGTCTCCTTCCTGGTGACCGCCTTGAAACTGTTTCAAGCCCACCGACTCCCACAGCTACCTGGACTACACCTCCTGTCACCCACCCTCCTGCAAGAATGCGATCGCCTCCTCCCAATTCCTCTGCCTCTGCCACATCCACACCAAGATGGAGCATTCCGCTCCTGCACATCCCAGATGTCCTCTTATCTCAAGGACCGTAACATTCCCTCTCTGGAGACCAAAAATGCCCTCAACCGAATCTCTTGCATTTCCCACACTTCTGCCCTCACATCCCCTCCCCCTAACAAAAATAATGACAGAATCCCCCTTGTCATCACATTTCACACCACCAACCTTCACATCCAACGTATCATTCTCTGACACTTTCATCACCTACAATCTGACCCCACAACCAAACAGATATTTTCCTCCCCATCCCTATCTGCCTTTCATAGGGACCGTTCTCTCTGCGACTCCTTCGGCTGCTCCACACTCCCCGCTAACCCCACCACCCCCGGCACCTTCCCCTGCAACCGCAGGAAGTGCTACACCTGCTCCTACTCCACCCCCCTCACCTCCATTCAAGATACAAAACAAACCTTCCATATCAGACAGGGGTTCAACTGTGCATCTGTCAACTTGGTCTACTGTATCCGCTGCTCCTGATGTGGCCTTCTCTAGGTCAGTGAGACCAAGTGTAGACTCGGAGACGGTTTTGTAGAGCATCTGCACTCTGTACACAACAAACGACAACACCTTCTGATCGCCAACCATTTTAACTCCCCCTCCCACTCCCTGGGTGACATGTCCATCCTGGGCCTCCTCCAGTGTCACAATGATACCACCCACAAACTGGAGGAGCAACACCTCATATTCTGCCTCAGGAGCCTACAGCCTGATGGCCTAAACATGAAATTCACTAGTTTTAAAATCTTCCCACCCCCAGCCTCATCCCATGTCCAAGTCTCCCTCTCATCCCTGCCTCCTTGACCTGACACAACCTGTCCATCTTCTCTCCCACCTATCTGCCCCACTGTCCTCACTGACCAATCCTCACCACTCCTTCCCCAGCCCCACCCCTTCTCTCTATTTATTTCCCAACTCCTTTCCCTCTCACTATTTCTGAAGAAGGGTCCTAACCCAAAATATCCTGCTCCTCTGATGCTGCCTGACCTGCTGTATTCCTTCAGCTCCATACTGTGTTGTCTCTAACTCCAGCATCTGCAGTTCTTGCTATCTCTGTGAGGTAGGACGTTCTATGACAGGCAGGGAGTTTGTATCATGTAGTTAAACAGCAAGCACACAATACTCAATCATAAAACTGTCAGGTTGAATCACTTAGGTAGTGGTGATATCTTTATGGAGACAATAAGGACTGCAGATGCTGGAAGCCAGAGTCTATAGGTGTGAGGCTCGAAAAGCACAGCAGATCAGACAGCATTCAAAGAGCAGGAAAGTTTGCTTCTGGTGAGAATTTAAAAGGGAACATGTCCTCTATTTACACAGGTGTAAGATCTGACCTCAGTGTAGTTACTGCTGTTTCTGTAATGCCAACCTGAAATAACACCTCTGTTAAAAATTTGATCTACTTTGATGTCTGAAAAAATAAACATAGCTCTATCCTATTAAACAGGTTGAGTTGTCTCTTTCTAGTGTTGATTATAACCCAAGAATGTTTAAACTAAA